AACATTTTCAAGGAACATGGAACGTTAACACAAAGTAGCAAATTATTATTTCAGTGAGGACGCAGCTTTAAAATAAACATTTCGGGACACTCTGTAGAGAGACGTTAGCCGTAAATGCGCGCATTGACGGCGTCAACGACGCGCTGGGAGGGTCATACTTTCGAAACAAGGCCACTATAGTCGACCGGTTAGCTGCGATATACAAAGCACAGAGTGTGACTAAGCCGGCCGCCTACGTGCATCATGCGATGTCTGTTACAAAACCGCGCATGCGTTTTTCTCGGGTCGGTCGCCCCTCTTGCTTCTCCTTATTCCGTGACCATCGTTCTCTTTCGTTTCCTCCGGTACAGCAGGAATCATCGCTGCTACGTTTCTTCGATTCAAGAGATAGATAGAGAGCGGAGACGCGCCAACGGACCTCGCTTCTATCAGAGTCGTCACGGAAAAGTACCGGTCACACATCTTCTCGATGGCAGACCACGCTCTAGTCGAGATCTCGGTGACTCGTATTCCTGTTTCTCTTCTGTGGTGGGGGTAGATACGTGCGGATGCTGCGTTCCACTGGAATATACAGGATTGCCGGTGGATATACTCGACTGAGATATCGCGTGTCACGGTCCTCCGTAGAACGTGACGAAACGATGCTTCTTTCTTAATATCGATCCGTTCGCTTATCTGCTCGTACCAGGGGGAATGCGTTTCTTCGTATGTGGGTTCGGAAACGCGTAAACATCTTGCGAAGAAAAATAACGAGACACGCGATAACCGAGAAGTAGCACGTTGTCGGGAGAACTTCGTTGCGTAGCGCGGTTCTTGATAACATCGTACGTGGAATGGCAGAGTAAAGTTGTGAGATTGTCGCCGTTTTGAAATTGCCTTATTCGTGGAAGCCTATGGATTCTAAGTACGAATAATCAGTGTTGGATAAAGAAATTCCTTTCACTTGCATTTTTCTGTATTTTATTTTCGTGCAGTTATTCATACGAAATACATATTCATATAAATATCAACCGTATAAAAAATTTCTAATAATTATATTTTTTGAGAATTAACAATTTTGTACGGGTAATATTTGTATCAATTTTATACACATATACTCTATAGTACCATAAACGATGTATGTTTAAAGACAGAACGTATTTATGTTACAACCTAGTGTATGTTATTGCGCTTTGCTAATATATATTACGAGTGTCAACAGCAGTAGATAGGAGCGCCATCAAACAAAGTATATCCAGTGGAGAATATGTTTGTCTTTTGTTTGTTGACCTTTCTTAACGTATAATCGATTAAGTAAAAGAAGAACGTACTTTTAAATAAGGGAACGGATCGTATTTTCCTGAAATATTAAATTAACTATCGGTATGCGTCTTAAACTATTGTTATTTTGAGCAACATATTTATGAACATTGAAAATGTAAAATAGCATTGTGATACCACACGGTAATTCCTAACCTAGAATCTTTTTTATTAATCGATATTATTTTAATATTATTTCAATGTTTCGGTCGCTACCCAAAACTAATACCCAAAATTATTTTTAAAATAAAGAAATATTTTGCTGAAACATTTTTAATTATAGCAATAATAACGCAAGAAAACATAGTAGATTGAATTCATAAAAACTTCAATTATTCCATGCGTTTATCTCTTAATTGATATGTCATCTTTATTTTGAAATCCTTTTTTTTTTCGCTATTTAAATCTCAATCCGTATGTAATTATAATCTAATTACTTCATATAATCATTCTACAAAGATAATAATAAGGATAGATTTTTAGATAACAATTAAAGTAATAATGATTAAAATATACTTATTTTTTAATCGATGTATCGAAAATTCGAAAGTTAATTATTATATAGACATGTTGAAATATTTCTTATTCTAGTTGAATTACAATTTTTGCAGTTATATCGGTATTTGCGTTTGTATTTTGGAATAATATTAATACAAGTAAAAGTAATTGCTATAACATATATTTCATAAAAATTCCAAGCATTTTCTACTTTTATCGTCGAACGATGTATTGAAAATTCGAAGGCCAACGAGTGTATGATATACAGTATCAATGTAATCGTACAGTCATATCTATACTATAGATAAACCGTACAGGTAACACGCGTATCGCGTGTTAATGGTTTTATCGTTGAAAGTGACCTAAGAATGGTATAGAAACGGTTCGTAAACAATATCAAAATGCGTAACCTCGCGATGTGTCCTGTAAACTGTAAGTGGTATTATATCGAGGTACGAGAACGCTCGATATTCCTTGGTGTAGCAGCAACAATCGCGCGCTCATGAAAGCAAATAAGTCACGAAAAGCACTTCGTATACAGCTGGCGACACAGATGGCACGTCTTGTATGTGTCGTTCGGTAGACGATCTCTCGTGGAATATCAATTTCACGCTAACGTTCGACTTAACCTATTGGACTTAACGGACAGCAGCTGTTTCGATTTGGTTGTAGACGGTTGGAAATCGGTCGAATATCCGTGTGTCACTATTGTCAGTCTATTTATAAAGATCCAGGAACGAGGCTTGTCTGCCCTCGATGCGACCAACGAATGACAAAAGTATACTCGTTTCAATTAGCATAATCACACGACGTTGTCCGTGCTGCTCTATGTAGAGGGGAAAGGATATCTATTTCTGTCTTCCAATGATCCATCGAAGTCTGCTCTTTTTATACGACGATGCTTCTAGGTTATGTTAGATAATTTATTTCGCGTGAAATTATGTATTTTCGACAATTGACAATCATTCAGTTAGGTTAAGTTTAATAACATAGAATAGAAAGTGTCATTAATGTCTCCGTTCTTATACGACCATGCTTATAGGTTATCTCGAATAATCTGAATTATTTCGAACGAAATTTCTTTTTTCCGCGTTCAGCAATCGCTTGGTCACGTTAATTTTAATGATACGCATAGAATAGATTGTGTTATATAGTGATAGCAAAAATGTTAAAGATTAATCGAATTTCAGGGGCGTACGTCGGTCCGTCTATCCCATTGGCACCGGCAAATGTGGCGGCAAACGGTGGAGGGTCTCCT